GATACCCTTCCTATCTGGTCTAGCAGAACATCGCCCATGGTTTCAGGTGGACTCGGTGGATGATAGCATACCTCCAATATCAGATTCTTGGCCACCTCTAGACCTGTCAGTCTTACCACGTACCTGATCCCCTTCTATTGCACTCCCTATCTCATTGCACATATAGCACTACACCCCCTCCCCTCTTTCCCTTCCTGTCATTCCTAAAAAGAGCATATCCTTCTATCCTTCTTTTCATCCCACCATGTTTCCATAATTCTCAGCAGGTCATACTCACCTACTCCCAGGAGAGTCTTGACAGATGGGGAATGCTTGGCTCAACAATACTGCAAATGAGAACAATCTCGAAATTGTCATAGATCACAAGTGAAATATGAGCAAACAATGCAAAGTAGCTGCAAAAAAGGCAAATGTATCACTTCCAAATTATGTGACGTACTTATTCCCTTATAGTCAGCACTACTCAATTCTCATCTTCAGTACTGGGTCCAGTTCTGGCCACCACAGAGTAAGAAAGATGCAGAAAAGCTGGAAAGGCTTCAGAGAGAGGGCAGCAGGGATGATCCAGGGACTGGAAACAAAGCTGTATGAGGAGAGATTGAGATAACTAGGCACGTTCAGCCTCATGAAGAGAAGACTGAGGGGGGGATATGATAGCACTCTACAAGTACTTGAAAGGCTATAACAATGAGGAAGGCCAGGATCTCTTCTCAATCATTCTAAAGTGCAGGACACAGAATAACAGACTTAAATTACAAGTAACCAGATTCCAACTAGATACCAGGAAAAAATTCTTGACTCTTAAAGCAGTACAACACTGGAACCAATTACTTAGGGAGGTTGTGGAAGTTGTGGGCTCTTCCACACTAGAGGCATTCAAAATGCAGCTGGATAGACATCTGAGTAGAATGCTTCTAGGCCCCTTCCAACTCTATTATTCTATGATTCAGTATTTATTATTTATTTCTTAAAAGCTTGTGTATGCTGTCCTAATATACAAAATCAGGATGGCTTACAATATTTAAAAGAACAATTAAAACAACAATGTCTAATAAATAAAAAAAAGAACAAACAATAAATCTCAAAGCAAACAGAGCGACTGAAGGTTAAAAGTTGTTAAATTTTAAAATACTGTTTAAATAAAAAGGTGTTGTGCAAACCCATGCAATCTTGGCCTAATCTTGTTGTTGATGGGATAAAATGGAGTGAAGGAGGACTATGTAAACCACCTTCGGTTTCTCACAAGAGGAAAAAAGGTGGAATATAAATATAAAGGAACAATTTTATTGCTAACAACAGCAAGAAGAGCAGTATAGCTGACTTGCCTCAGTTCAGGGTACTTCAAGATGCCCACCCCAAATAGCACTCTGGGCTGTCAAATCAATCTGTACCCCCATCTAAATCCAGAGTCAGCATCCCTGAAGAAAAGCCCCACCCAAAACATTCATGCCCCCATTCATCTACCTCTGTCACCTTGCCCTTTAACAAAAGGGTTGCTAGAATGAGTTAAAAAGGTAAGCAGCATGGACAGTCCCTGCTCTTTGGTTAACAATCTAGAAGAAATGATATACAAGAAAAATAGGATGGGAAAGAGGTGGTCTCTAAAGAATGCAAATCCTGTGTGGTAAACATTGAAACCATAATGGTCAAGTAAACATTTTGAGCTTTATTGCTGCATTTTAATGGTAGTTATTCCTAACTATGTGGCATTTAATATTGTATGTACTTTAGAATGGGTTTCAGAAAAGAAAATGCTAACAGTGGTTAAAGTTGGGTTTGACTTCAAAGGCATTTTAATACGTGGATAAAACAAACCAGGTGAGAATAAAAATACTGCTGCAGTGAGTGTCACATGTGTTATTAAAATGTGACTGAATTTCATGTTCCGTGTTCTTTTCAAAGCTTAAATGTGTAATTGTATATAGGTACAATTTCAGTAAATTGGAAACAAACACTTGCTTATATGTAAAGCACAATCATAGGTATTTAAACTATATCAGTATATTCACTTCAAGTTGTATTCACTTCTCCCAGATTTTTGTTGGTGGTGGTGATGATTTCAAAATGTGAAATTACTAGAAAACAGGGAAAATAAAGGTTGTTGCTTTCAAAAAGTTGAGTACAAGTTACTGAGTTCTGATTCCATAACATGTTTGTTTAATGTATGAAATGCATAAGAATAGGAATGTTATACTTATTATTTTATACATCACAACATGTTGTATGTGTGGTAATTAGTTTTTTTTTTCTGTATCTTACCAATAAATTTTGCAGCACATTGCTTCTTTTCTAAAGCAGTTCCATTATCATTTCAGTGTATGAAATAGGTTTCTGAAAGGAAAGCCAAACACATTTCTAAAATGAACACCAAATATTTTTTTCTGAATCTGTCTGCCATTGAAAAGCCAGTACTGCCAATTTAAATAGTGCATAATAATGATATTAATTTTTATGGTGTGTATAAGTTACATTTGATTAGTTTTTTGCATGATTAAAATTTGCAAAGCCTTTATGGCCCCCAGGAGCCAACCTGTAATAAACAGCTCTCACCTTCAAAACCATAAAACAGGCTTCCAATACTCGAACATTAGATCTAATTGCCTTGCTACATCAAAGGAAGTACCAGAGGACTGAGAAAAATCACAGAAGGGAGGAGGGGGTAGAGGGCAGTTTCACCTCCAAAGGTTATGTGTTTGTGGCTTGGTGGAGCCCTGTAAAGTTATGGCCTAAAAACTGCTGTTTGCGATTAAGTTGATGGGGAAAAGTCTACCCCGCAATCTCCCTGCTGCTGACACAGAGTCTTTGTTCACATTTAGATTTCTCAAACTGTTGCCAGGGTCAGGCTGAGGTCAGACACCATGATGATGTATAGGAGAACATGTCTGGGAATTTCTCTCATACTTAAAACACATACCAGAAAAAAGAGAGAGCCCTGCAAAAATTGTCTGATGAGACCCAGATGATGATACTGTGGCAGTTCTTTTAGTAACATCATGTCTTTCTCTTTGCCATACACACACGCATACAAACATAGTGATTTATTGATGTGTACTATGACAGCATTTACTGTTTTATGCCCCTTCAAGATAAGGACACTCAGTATCACTTCGACACTTCATTTTCCTGCCCAAAGTGAATGAGCTGGTAAATCTATGAAAAGAAGAAATTATGTCCACTGTAGAGTGTGGAAGTACCATGGGCTGAACAAACCATGGGTTTCAAATAGATACCCTCTCTCTCTTTCTCTCTGTGTATGTACATGCTTGAGTATTGACACATCCCAATCTAGTCAAGATCACAGGTTTTACAGCATCCCAAACTGTGCTCCTCATCATCCTCAACAAACACAACCTTGTTTCCAGCTGTGACTAAGGAGCCTTACAATGTTTGATTAGTAGTACCACTGTGAGAGGGAAAGAAGAAATAAGCATGCTAATGCTGTGAGAGTTGTTTGCTCCATTTTGTTGATGATTGCTGTGTCTAGATTTTAAAAAGAAGGGTTTTCACCCTTCCTAGTACAGCTGAATAAAATGGCTATTGATATCTAGGTTGCAGCAATGTATGCACAATGAAATTCTGACCCACTTTTAAAATCAAAAGTTATAAAGACCATTTTTTCATGAAATATTTTTGTAGTTTGACATTGTTGATTTCAGTTGTTTGCCCGTGCATACAGCTCTTCTGCAGAGTTGGCAAGTAAAGCACTAAGTAGCAATTTTTCTCTGCTCAGCTGCTCCATATGACAGAGGATATTTCATTCTGCTGTCAGAATGTTATTAATAAAACATGGGGTGCAGAAGGGGCCACGATTTCCCCTTTCAATCACTATAGCATTTACAATGAAAATTTTATGCAGTGTGTAATTTTCAGTTAATGCTTGACACTTAAAATGTCCGGAGCTGCATTTTGTATGGCTCCTGAAGGGTTAATTGTATCATGTTCCTTGCATAAAAGCTCTGCTTATCAAAAGTGAATAGAAGAGTGTATGCAAATGCATGTCTGTGACCTTTTGCCTTTCCAGGGTTAATTTATATGGTCATTAAAGATTTTATGAAATTGAGCGGCCTGGTGTTTTGAATCCCATTTTACCTTCCCCTCCTAATTTATATAATTCCTACCTGAACAGGGAAATATGACTTTCTTTTTTTGTTTGTATTGCAATGAAAACAGCATGCTGTGCTGTGGGGAGTTGCAAGTCTGGTTATCTGGCATTACTCAGATTGCTAAAATTCATTAAAATGTGACATCAGCACAGTCAGAGACAAATGATCACAAGATGAAAAGGAACAGTAGGCCTTTCACGGATTAGTGCTACATGGCCCCAGCATAGAAGCTAACTGCATAAACAGATTAATCTACTAGTAGCAGCATAGCTAAGATTTACAGAATAATTAAATTGAGTTGTGTTACTGTGAAGATTTTCATGTAATCTAGCTGGTGTGAACATGTAAGTGAGGTGTGGGTAATACCACTTCCTGAAAAGCAATATAGCAAGTTGTGTCATTTACCCTGTACAACTCCTCTGGTGATAAAAACAGAGTTCTCAAGGTTGAGATCCAGCACTGCACTTATGTACAGCAATTAGCAGGATTGGTGGACTCTAACTGGATTCATTTTGGAGTGGTTTGCTTAGTTTTCAAATAAATTGTTGTGTGCCATTTTTTTCCGATCTGAAGTTGTATACAATGTTACTGATGTAAATTACTTTTAGCCAATGAATAGCAAATGAAAAACATCTAATCTATCACATTGGTTATTACTGTATGTTCTGACAAAGAAATGTTTGCAATTTCTGGGTTGAATCTGAAAATTTTCAAACAATTAATAATTAATACCTGATCTCTTTAGTGTGCCATTCTTTTTAACTTATTTCTCTTTCTTCTTCTTTTTTAAAACTCTCATTAAAATTTAGTGGCTGATCTTATTAAAGATCATATTTACAACTGCTGTTGAATGGTCCCTAAGTTAGCGTCTTTTAATTTTTTTATGCTCATTCACAGAAGAACAAGTTGAAGATGCAGAAGGGTCTGCTAAAAGCTCATCAGTGTCTGTTGCTGATGATAAAGACACGTGTGAGAAAGAGAGAAATAATAGTGAAGGAAAAAAAACTAGTAAGGATTCTGGTAAGATGCTAGAATTTTGTCACTCTTTTAAAAATAGTCTTTCATTTAAAACTGTCTGGACATTCCTGTTATTATCTATTGCATGTGTATTTTGCATGTGATTTCTATCACTAGCCTCCCATTGACCTATTTTTAATCATAACCATCTGACAGGATAGATGCGGATAAGTTGAAGAATATTATAGGACGACTAGTGAGATTATTTTTTAATCAAATCAGTTTGTGTGCTTGTAATTTTTAAGCGCCTTTCATTAATCTTAGCTGTACTTGTGATTCCTCTGATGGCATATTAATTTTTCATAAGCGTAGGATTAGATACCACTTGAAATTTTTCCCCTGCCTTCAGATTTTGTCTTCTTGCAGCCGTAGGAATGGAGGAATGCTTCTCCTCTTTGATACATGATCACTTGCATTCAGGAATCTTCCCTTTTCCTGAGCATTTATTTGGTATTTAGGAGAAAAATGCAGAAAATCCAGTAAAAAAGTTTACAGATGATTCAGCCTAAGAAAAAGAAAATATCATTGAAAACGGATTAAGAGTGGGTAATATTGATCTCTGGGAATATATGAAGCCTGGTAATGAAAGCTACTGTATTTGAAAGCAAAACTTCTATGTCATGACATTTACTTGTACACAAACAAACCCAAGGCCAGCATCTGGCATGGATACACAAGGCTTTTTCTGTGTTTGATTTGGTAAATATATGACTATATCCATGCATTTTATGTATGAGATGGAAATCTATGGTCACAATGAATATTACATTGGTTACTTTTGCTGCATGCTATTTCTAGTTACATTATGGTAGATTCACTGAAGCAGAAGATGTGCTGAAACAGGTTGAAGCCTATTAGTTTCAGGTAGTCATATATCTTTTCCTTGTATCCCAGTGACAGCAGCATAGAAAGGAGCTTGTATTCACCATAAGACATTTAATTATACAGAGCAAATAATTTTGTGTGCAAATTTACTTAAATCTGAATCGGCCAGTAATCGTAAAGGCATAATATTGTTTAAAATGTATTAGAAATATAAGCACATTGATTTGTCTTTATTCCAAATTCATTCACATTTAAGGAATAAAACTCAGTTTATGTTTGGTTATTGATATGTTGAGGTCAGTACTTAAAAGCTGCAAAAAACATCTCAGCTACATTGGGGTTATTTTGTTTTTGACATCACAGTACTGAAGAAGAGCTCTTCATGACAAAGCTTGATCTATAGAGTTCCTTTGAAACACACTTGCCATTTCATTGGAAGGAGGTATCTGAAAGAGGTGCTGCTTACACTCATTACTGAGTGATTTTGGAAGTGAAATGGAAAAAGAGAGAAAACCAAGTGTTAAATATAATTCTCCTTCCAGGGTTTCATCAAGCAAATCTTGTAATACTTTTCAGGAATCTTTTTTACCAAGTTTATCTACTCTAAACATTGAAGAATGAGCAAACATGTTAATGAGACAATTGGCAAATAATGATAGCCTCTGCAGAAATAATACGGTGAAAATTTCAAGAGTTCATGAGGATTAAAGGCTTTGAAGGACCAAGTTTAATTAGGACTAACCTATGCTCAGATTGTACAGTGACAAACAAGGTGTAAGATGGGTTTAGCTGTGTTATATGATACCTTTAAAAATAGATGCTAAAAGCAAATGCTTCTCTGATGCTTTTACAACAAGCCTTGGATAATAGTTCATGTGCCTAATTCGCAAACTGACCTTTTGTATCTTTTGATAGAATTCTCTAAATTAATTCTGCATATGAGGCATTCATTTCATGGGCTTAATTCTCAACACAGCTGACAGTGATGCCTAATGACTGCATAAATGCTTGTGTATAATTGAATGTTAATTTGGGCTTTCTTCCCCTGAATTAAGTGTTGAAAGTCTTGCCAAAGAAGTCCCAGGAAAACTAGTAAGTTAATCACAGCCTTAACAAGCTAGACGGGAAGTGCTATCACCCCTCTTTTACACAAAATCTATTAGAAAAGGAAGGATTAACATGTTTAGTACACAAACATTGTATAAACTGTTGTTCTGGATTGCCTTTCTTATCTCAGAAAGAGGCTTTCAAAACCTGGCAGTAAGCAAACTATGTTGAATATTCATTCAGAAGACATGGAACTCCTAATGCTTCATTTATATTGTCATTTATGTCTAGTGCCACTTTAGATTAATTATAATCCAAATTACAGCTCAACGCAGTGTAGGAATTAATATGGAATTTATCCAGATTAATACATGTGCATGGAAAATGTAATATGTTTCTGACATGGCTAAGGGGAACACTTTTTAATAAAGTGGTAAACAGAAGGAGCAATGGAAATTCACCTTAGTTATTGCAATAAAAATTATTCTCTAATTCTCTTCTAATTAGAAAAAATACTGTACTAGCTTTTAAAACTTTAGAATTATTTCTAGTCTGAATAACACCATATGATATTTGAAAAGGCCTAAATTATACAATCCTTATAAAATTCATTGAGTCATAAATAAAGAAACAGTATATTGCTTATAGGTTTTTCAGTATTCTTTCATTAGATAGTTTATTGGATTTCTCTTATTGACGTACACCTATTTATTTTTTTTGCTTAGTCGCAAAGTCGTGTCTGACCCTTCATGACCCCATGGACAACATTCCTCCAGGCTCTCCTATCCTCCACCATCCCCTGAAGTCCACCCAAGACCACACCCTCTGCCCCAGTGACCCCATCTAGCCACCTCAACCTCTGTCATCCCCTTCTCCTTTTGCCTATTTATAACTACCTTTAAAACTTAAGATCTGCATATTATAAAGTAGGTTATTTTCCTTGTACACTACAATTCAAGTACACTTGAAATAAATGATGGTGCATTTTTAGGGCCATCCTGTACATAATTACTCAAAAGTCCTACTAGCATTAATGGAAATTATTAGTAAGCACACACAAGGTTGCAACCTTAAAGTCTTACTTATAATTAAAGTCCTGCTTTGAACTTCAGTAATTGAACTCTCTCATGTATGTTGTACATAAACAGAAAAGTTTTGATAATTAGTCAAATAATTAGACTGTGTGCTTAGAAAATGGATGCACAAACATTATGTTGCTAATAAAAAAGTTTTCAGATAATATGAAAGTTTCAGAATGAAGAGAGTTTTCAGCTTATTTCATTTAATACTCCACCATGTGGGTATCAACGCTTCAGTGGGGTATATTATTATGTTTCAGTTGATCAAATGCAGTTTTCACAAGCTAACATTGTGCAGTCTTGGCAGTAGTTGATGTTCGCATTACATATATCCCACACTGAACTTATTCACATCTTAAAACTAGTAAGGACATGATATCCTGTACATGGAACATGATTACATGAAGATATTTTCAGTCATTACAAATGTGAATGATCATATATAGAGCAGGTTTAAGTTGTGGATAGTGTCATTAATAATGGGCGTCTGTGGGAAATGGCTACCAAGGATTGTCTACCAACTGTCTGTAAGACAGGGGTCTCAAACTCGCGGCCCGCAGGCCAATTGCCGGGACGGGTGGGGCACAGGGGAGGGGCCCTGCGGCCTTCAAAGCACCGGCGGCGCCCGGGCCGACCGCAGGATGAGCGGCCCACCGCGGTGGTGGAATACTTGATGCGGCCCAGCCTCACCCAGACTCTACTTCCAGCGGCCCCCAGGTAAGTTGAGTTTGAGACCCCTGCTGTAAGACATGCATGTAATATGAATGGAATATGCTCTACAGAAAAGTCATGATCACACCTTTCCAAATCTCCCTATTAAATAATGCATAGTCAGTTCTATGAATAGTGCAGATGTCACATAAATCAGGCTATGGTCCTGTAAAGTTCTGCTATGTTGGCAACTGCTAATTGTGCAAAGGCTTAACTTTGGCTCATTTCATGCATGGGAAACTTGTTAAAAACTATGTTCCCCACAGAAGGAGCATGCTAAACCTAGTCTTCTTACTGCATTGGTCTTAATGGATAGATTACGACAGCAATGGAACTAAACTACTGACTCTATTTGTCCTTTGAGATATTCTCTCTCTCTCTCTCTCTCTCTCCATACACACACTTAGTTTTTGGATGTGAATTGTAGAAAACATTATGCACTTATCTTCTAATATTTACAGTGTAGTCCTGTATTCCTATTCTGAAGTAAGTTTCATTGAGCTCAATGGGATTTACTCAGAGGTAAGTATGTATAGGTCAGTGTGCTAATGTCTATATTTATATAGGACCTTTTTGTTGCTGTTGCTTTGCTTTTATAAATTCTAATCCTAATGAGGACTTAATGTCATCCAGGACTCACCTGGGTTTAGTTCTAGAAACTTAATTGCCTCTGAACATTTGGAGGAAGTAATAATTAAAATAAGAAGATGTCGTGGTAGTTAACAGCCATAACTAATTTGATCAGAAAAGAGGTTTCCATGGTAGAGTACCTATTTCCAAGGTACTCTATTTCCTGGTGCCTCTCATTTGAGAGTGCAGTATTGTTTGAGAGTAAAGTTATGTTGCTACTAAACTGCAAAAAGTGATTATCATTTCATTATCATTTTCTAAGGTGCTGAATTCTTGAAAGAACCCAAGCATGATCTACTTGTGCAACACTAGCACAGCTCTTTTTTTTCCTCTTAGTTTTCTTTTTATGTGGTATTACTTTTTGTAATGGTTTGCATTGATGTTATGGTAGTTTTAAGTTCTGGTATTTTATTGAAAATTGTTTTATCTATTTAATATTGGTATGTTTTAATCATTTTTTGTAAGTCCCTTTGGGTCTTTTTAAAGAAAAAGACAACTAAGCAATTCAATTAAAATTAATATTCTCCTGTGACATTAAATTACAACAAAGCAAGAAATAGGTGTGAGGATAAATGGATGGATAGATATAAATTGCTAGTACATGAACCAAAAACAGACATAATTTTCTTTTTCTCCGTATATATATTGCAATGAAACATGTACTAATCCAACATGGGCATTCTCTTGAAGAAGTAAACGCTTGGCATCTCTTGAGATTTAACTATCTAAATGGAAACAAACAACGAATACAGTTTCAAAGTAATGAGGATGTAAATCAGCCCTAGAAGTAGGTTTGCTTTTCCTAGTGTGGCAGTTAGTGGGTCTACATTTTGACATACTCATATTTACCAAATATAAATGTCCCTTTGAAGAATTAAAAATATTGAAGTGGACATCGTGCTTCTACTGAGGTCTTTATAGGATTATAGAATGTACCCAATCGTCATGATTTTGAATGTAATATTCATATACAGTATGTAATACTATATTTCCCCTTTTATTCTCAAATATCAATTGCTTATGAAGTTGAGGTTCAAAATTATAAGTTGCTACATTTAAGATGTTCCTGCTGTAAAATCATAGCAGCATCACAGTACTATGAATCACCCAGTGTTTATTCACCCACTAATAGGAATGTCGGATACAGTAGAAAATGTCTTTAATACATTTAAAGCTGTATTCTGGGATGATCCAAGGGTATTGATATTTACAGATATTAATTGTTTGGAGAATCTAAAATTCATAAAATTCTAGTTATGATTGGTATGGGAAGAGAATTTGATCTGAAATTTCCAAAGCTACAACATCTTTTCAGATATAGCTCCAGTGATTAAAGTACTATTTGGAAGGAAAAATTATGAAACTGAAGCTGTTGATCACATCTTGAGAATGCAAGACTCACTGGAGAAGATAATGTTAGGGAACGTTGAAGAAGAATATGACAACCAAATATGAGATGGATCAAAGAAAACCACAGCCTTGAGTTTCCAAGAGCTGATCAGGAATATTTTGGAGAACATTCATTCATGGGGTCACCATGAATCAGAGATGACTGTATGGCATGTAACAACAGCAATTTGTTATCTGTACTGAGTCTCAGTAGGTTCAAATAATAGATCTGACCAACACAATTGTTTTTGTTTTATGCAGTGCATTGTCTTCAAAGCAATGCACTGATGAGTTCTGAAAGATTTTTTGTGTGGAATTTGCTTTGCATTTTACAGGCATTTTGCTTCCAAACCAGAAATCCTGCCAAAATTCTTTGAAAAAAGAGATGTAATATGATTCAGTGATTTCAGCCTTGGCTTGTACTGGCTGTAAGGTCTACTCTGCTATTGTCATGGTCCCTAAATGCCATGGCAACAGGTTAGCTTAAGAAATGCTTGATTTACAAGATGCTGAATTTGCTGAATTGGCCCGGTAATTAGACTGAAAAGGACTGAAATAATCAATCTGCATCTAAAATGACTTTTTATCCATTCCTTATTTTCCAAATCCTGTATTAAAGACACTTTGAGACATTTTTCAAAAGATAAATTAGAAACTATTTGTATTGTCTTCGTTTGTGTACATATCTGTATACAATTTCCAGTGCCACATTTCAAGCCAGCATTTTTCTCACTCTACTAATTTATATCTTTGAGAAACTCAGTTCTTCCATGTCTATGCATGTAAACACCTATTTATTTCTTGGGGGACTTCAGCTTCCATGCTGAAGCTATCCTGTCTGGTATGATATGATTCAGATTTTCATGACACCATAACAGTATTGGGCCTGCTTCAAACTATATATGGCATGTCCCATTCTGCTTAGTTTACATTTGATTTGTTGATCTATAATAGATGGAAGAAATGAGAACTATTTGTGGCAGAACCTGAAAAGGTTCAGATATCATGGATATCACTTCCTAGATAGTTTTAGTTTTTCAGAGATTTTTGACTGTTGCAGGAGAGGGACCTATTGGGATGGTCCTCCACTGAAGGCTTATAGAGTCTCCTAAATTCTGTATCTCTCTGATGAATTTCTTGCTGACACATGTAATGGTTCTGTTGGTGCTCTGGTTGATATCAAGAATGGAAAAATGCTCTAGAGTATAAACAAAATCTCACCCAAGAACTCTCTTTGCGGTAGTAGAGTTAGTCTAGCCTTGGTTTTCTGAAGAACTGGGTGCAATGAAATACAAAGTGCTATCACTGACATGCAAATGGCAGTAGGACTGAAATGAATCTGACTGAACATAGACAGAGATGGATTATGGGCCTATCTGTGGACAGTATATGTGCAAAAAAAGAAAACTAGGCATATGCCTATTGTTGGGCAGAGGAGCTATTTGTGGTGGTTATAGGTCTTTTACAGCTTGTAAGCAAGAAGTAGAATGATGAGTGGCCTGCTACATTGTATTCCCTAAACATCTTGATAAATGTGTTTGCATCCACTTTAGGTCTTTAAATCAGATCTCTGAAGTAGTTAATACCTCTCTGAAAAAGAGTAGTGTGTCCTTACCTTTAAAGGAAGCAATCATTTAGTCCTTCCTGAAAAAATACAGAATATAGACCTGATTAATCCTAGAAGGTATCATCATTTCGCCACTGTTGAGGTGTTTTCTTCTTTTGTGGGGGGGGGGGCAGTTGGGCAGAGGGGAGCTAAGATTCTGGTATATGGGTTCTCAGAATAGGTGGTTCTTAACCTAAGACCCTTAGCTATTAGGCAGTATAGAAAATGAATTAATAATAATATATAGTTCATATATCTAAAATAAATATTGAATGTACTACATTTCACTGGAATGATCGTGAGCATATGCTGCAGATGCACACTGAATTTCAAAAGGCTATGGCATTGCTGTCTACTAAAAACCTCAAACTTCAAGAGTCATCTGTGCTCTTAACCAGCTCACAGAATGGTTAGGGTAGGTTATTTTGGAAAAAAATGAACCCACCAAACAGTTTCTTGGGCCCTGCCATCATAAATTGGCCTTGCCTTGCCTTCACTTTTTGGCGGGAGGTTAAGGGAAGGATTGTATGACTGCCATCACCGTTGGTAAGAAAATGGGGAATACAGTCAATAGTGTATCCACTATGAACTTTATCTCTAGTTAAATCGGTGTTTTTCCAGTATGTGGGATGAATTCTCCTCACATTTCTATGAAAAATGCTGTCTCTTTATTTGTCTTTCAAAAGTTGTTAGTAAAAGCACCATCCTGCAATATTATGGGAAGTGAGAAAAATGTTACCACAAGTATATAAAGAATAAGTGGTGATAATGCTATATTTTTTATGGATTAGTTAATGAACCATAAGAAATATTTATTTTGTTAATCTGGTTTATGGTCAGAATAACTGGGACAAGTTAGCATAATAAATCTTTTTTTAATCAGAAAGCCTATTGCTATTATTTAAGTGCCATAATATCTTCAGTGCTATATTCACTCTTTCCTCTGCTGCCTAAAACAATAGCATCATAAGGCCCTCCCTGTTTGCATGCAATATATTGCTCTGAACATTCAAAATACCATCGCTAATCTAGCATGTTTCTTAAATCTAATAGAACAATAGAAAATAAATTGCAACATGTAAAGCAATTAATTTGAATTCATTTCTCATAGAATCTATTTAAAACCTGCACAAAAATACATTTTGCTTTTTCACGATTGTCTTATTTTCTCACAAACCTTTGTATTTTTAAAACTACTGTTTTATGAAAGGGAATTTTATAAATATAAAATACTGCTCTTTTTATGCTCTCTCCAGCTTCCTACTTTTCTGATATCTTTACCAGTATTTTTAAGCATGTTTCAGTAACAGCCATTACCTTATTTTAAAATTCAAACTAGGTTATTAGACAATGAGGTACAATTTGTTTATTTTTATGAACTGTGTGAATTTTGAAATCAAGATAAATCTTCATGCACAGCATATAGTCAGATTACTCCTGGACAATATATTTATGTTGGGTCTGATAGCAATCAATGGATTAACTTCATTGCATTTCAAGATGTATTTGCACCCAGTTGTCCAGTGATAGTGTCCTCACCCTAGAATAATTTAGTTGCAAATTGACTGGAAGATGGTGAAAATTGAAAGTTGAAATTAGAAATACTCATAATAAACAGCAGAAAAAAGGTCAGATGATGCCACGCTATGATGAGATTGGAATGGTTGGTAAATGAGGTTTTGTGTTTGTCATGATATGTATGTGACATGCCTAGCCAATGCTGCTGTAATATCCATCCTAGCAGAAGAGATTATCTGGCAAATTGATGATGGAAAGAATTTTCTTATGGACTGGGAAATTAGAATTGCATTCTCTTCTTTGATGTGTGCAAGCCTGGCCTTATTATGCATCTAGCTTAGGCTGAATATTAAATATATATTTAATACATACTATTAAAATTATATATAGAAAGCAATACTATTGCATTTGATTATATCCTACCATTTTAACCTTATAAAGAAAACATTCAGAGCAATAGAAATGATTAATCTGACTGTACAATTAAATACTAATTTTTTGAAAATCCCACTTTCTCTTTTTTATATTAGGTAGGATACAGGCTTAGTTATGCTAAGAGTAGTTATGACTAACTTAAATACCATTGATTTCAATGTATATAGTCTAAACATGATGACATTTGGATCCAGACAAAGATTGACTAATTTTGGTATGAAATGTTGTTATTATAGCAGCCACATTTGAATAATATAATGACCATGCTCTTTAGTTATTTTAAAGGAAGAAAAATAAATGTTCACAAAGTATATTGGAGCACAGAGAATTGAGGGTGAAAATTTATTTTGCTTAATCAGGTATAAAATTTCAGACTAAATTACTAGGGAGAGCTAGTTATTGATTACTCTTTAGGGCAACATAAGGTTATCTAAACAAAGAGAAGAGTGCATCTTTAATGTATTCATAGAATCTACTCTGCTTCAAAGATAAGTGTGCTGTCACATTTGTACCTGTTGAGTTTCAAAAACTAGTTTTACTTTGATACTTTGATAACCCTGTAATATTCAAAATTGCAATGAGAGACCTTAAGGGCTCACAGTCAGAATAAATCTTAGTAACAATGTTTGCTATTTATAATATGTCTTACCTGTTGTCTTGGAAGCAGGAATAAACACTCCAGAGAAGGAACCAAAAGTAAATGTTGCAGCAGGAGAACAGCCACTACTTCCAACTAAAGAAGAAGATGGTGTATCCAAAAAGCCCAAACTTTCTGAGGAAAATAAGTTTGGTCATGAACAGGTAAATACTGTAATTAGAATAGAACTCCCTTGTGGCATTCTTTTGATGAGTTTCTCCTGTCATACATGTTTTGGGGCTGAATTTCTATGTTATGCTAATTTTCCATGTGCTTTACTCCTTTGTCGACCGTGTCAGTGCTGGCCAGCTCTATAGCTTTTTCTCTGTATTTCATGTTACCAGTCTTGTCAGTGTTACATGATGGGGTGGGGGGGGGGGATTTATTATAAGAAACACATTAATTCTTTTGTCAGGAGTAATTACCAGAGCACTATCTATTGAGACTATTTGGGTGCTTGGCAATGACAGAGTATTGTAGAAAGACCTAGAAAATCAAACTGGGAAGAGATATTACAGGAAATACAAACCTTAGGGAAAAATACTAGTAACTCAGAATTTGAGTGAAAATGTGTCAAAATTATTTAACTGACATGGTAACCCGTAATGATCCTGAGGTGTTCTGTCTCTTTCTAGATTCATCTCCAATTCATTCATTTATTTTATTGCATTTGTTTATCCTGCCATTAAGATTTAGTACGATATACAGCAACATATTTTGTTACGTACATTGCAATATATTGCTACTACCACAAAATGCTACCACAGTGCTATCAGACTCCTGTGACGGGTAGCCACGTTTCCTATTTTCTTCTAAATTTAGTTCTTATCGTAGCAGGTCATTTTTTCAGGTTTTTTAATATGATTTTGCTAATGGGCTGAAGTTCTCTTGGATGTTTTTCAGTTTTACCAGTGCCCTTATTGTAACTACAATAGCAGGGACCCAAACCGTATCCAGATGCACGTCCTGTCGCAGCATTCTATGCAGCCTGTTATCTGCTGTCCCCTCTGCCAAGATGTCCTGAGCAACAAAATGCATCTCCAACTGCATTTGACCCATTTGCACAGTGTGTCACCTGACTGTGTGGAGAAACTGCTTATGACAGTAAGTTTTTAAAACATTTGGCATGTGGAGTGTAAATTATGCTGACTATATTCCAGGAATGTAGCTAGAGACTTGGAACCTGGCTCATGAGATCGCTTCCTAGTTCTGCCAATAACTTAGTTCATCCTTTTGGCCTATTCACTTAACCCTAATTTACAAAGACACAAGAGTCTGAAGCTCTCATTACAGTCAACCTTTCAAGATCAAGGCACTCACCTCTATGCCTTCCTGTGCATCCTAAACAAGATCAGCCACTATCTTTCCCATAGGGGAATTTTTAGTCTTAATTTACTGTAAATTGTATTGTGAGGGCTAGAAACTCAAGAAGTGACTATGTTCTGATTTTATGCTTAGTGGTACATAATTGTAAAGAGTCATAGACAAATATATCAGAAACTTTTTTTGTATTTCCTGGACGGGGAAATGAAATCAAGAGGATGCTTGAACAGAGTCATAATCATGTAGTTTATTTTATTTTGCTTGAATATATTGACAGAAAGACAATAAAATTAAACAATAACTGACACATATGAGGACAGGAACTGAAGAAGTTTACACAGAGGAGCTAAAAGCATTTTGGAACCATTGCTTCATGTAATGCAATGATAAAACATATATTGACGAAAATATACAATTGCATTATCTTCTGTATTCTTTCCTATATTAATGAGGATCACACATGAAATAGATATCACAAGAGAAGCTAAAATGTATTTTGAATTATGATGTGAAAACATCCTTAGAATCACAGGGCTGGAATGTTCCAGATGAGCATTAAAAACCTACTGATGTAATGCCCCAAAAGGAAAGCAAGAACCCCATATCAGAGGTACGCACCCAGTTCTAGCCACAAGTGCTAGCTGATTTGCTAAGGAAAGAATTCTTTCCAATTTCAAGATGCCTATTGTATTGACTTACTGTTATGTAAGACATAGACAAAATTGGATTTTATTGACGTCTGCAGAAATAGTGACTTTGCATTGCCTAACTCAAAACTTTGCTTAAAATGCAAATACTTGGGATAGGTCAGGGAAAGTGGAAACTTCCAGTACTCTCTTTATCTCTCTTGCTTGGGACATTTTGCTTCTACATCTTCTGCACTGCTGTACCAATGAGTTTAATCCCAGGATTAATCAAGCTGTTGGTTGTTTCACTTGGCAATATGTGATGGTGTGATAAACAGTGCAGTGCTCTTGGTGAGGGCCGTATCATGGTTCTCTTCTCTTCTCTTCTCTTCTCTTCTCTTCTCTTCAGGTTCCTGTACCAGACATGATGATGCCTAATAGTATGCTACTGCCAGCAACTGCTTCAGAGAAATCTGACTGTGACACTGCTGCAAGTCTGACAGCTGAGGGATCTGGAAAATACTCAGGTATGGAGACACAAGGCCAGAACTAAAATGCTGGAGTGTTAGTGCTTTTTTGCTGAAAACAGTTCTTTCTTTTGGGGTAGATATACTGTGTACACCAATTCAGTACCATAAAGGCCCAGTTTCCTCACAGATACGGGTAGGATCTGCAGTACAGTGTTGCAGTGTGGAGCCTCTATGTGCATAGCTCTGGCAACTCCTTTCTATTCTTCTTCTCTACTGTGCCCCACTACCATTTTTTGTTCTGAGATGCCTCCCCAAACAGCCAGCCAGCATTACATGGTTCCCTCATCCACCCTTTAGGGGTTCTTTTTAAGGAATACTTTGTGTACTCCTGCAAACCTTGTTTTCCCATGTATGCTAATAGCTCTTTCTTTTGTTTACTGTTTTCAATGCATGAATCCTAACACTCAGAGAAGTGAATATTTAATATTAGCAAATATGATACCATTTAAATATCTGTATCTGCATTCGTTCTTCTAATAACCTGTGCAACATCCAGGTTGGGTAAGGCATCTTAAGCCTTGCAACTTGTATTTTGCCTATCAAATCATTTCCCTTGGCCTGTAATTACATTATGGACTGGACTGCGTAATCAAAGGCAACACTATGGCTAAGTCACCATGACTGAGGCTCATGTAGATAGCCATTTTGAATATTCAAGCCATGACTTGTCATGTCATGTTGTCTAAATCTGAGCAGCATGGGGTGTATGAAAGTTAAGCAATCTTTGCATGACACATAGTTTTGAATATTCAAAAACTCCCTAGCACATTTTACATGGCTTAAAGAAGGCCTGGTGGATTGTGATGTTTGTGCAGACCAGGTCAATGTGATGCAATTACTTGATCTGTACTGTACTGGCAATTCTGGGGAAAAAGCTAGTCAATTTTAGATATTTGTCATGTGGTAACAGGGTTCTCATTCAGAAAGAAAAAGTTCTCAGCTTCAGTCTCAGACTTGTAAAATTAGCATCAGTTTGGAAGAATATCCTGCCCTACGTTGGCTCCATGTTTGGAGAAGGTATTTAAAAATGCCCTAAGGTTGGAAAGCATTTTACAGAATGCATTTACAGCCCACATAGACAGTTTCTTTATCTTTCTCAAAACAAGATGGATTCCTCTTTGTTGTTCAACAGGATTTTGTGGATGCTTTACATCACGGGGCAATCTTTTTCTGCCCAAGGGCCAAATTCCAATCTGGGTCTCACAGCACACTCCATCTGTAGCTAAAGCCAAATGCAAAGTAAGAGCAGGCAAAAGTAGTGTACATGGGGCAGAACATGATATTTACCTATTTCAGAATTAATCAGGACAAAATGCTTCATGCTTACTCAGAAGTAAGCAGGACAACCCTTGGAAAAAAGCAGTTGCTGATCAGACAAGAGCTTTTTCCTGCCAGAGAGGGTGTGGGGCCCAGGAAAGCAACTAATAGGAAACTTGTAAGCAGCATACGGCCTACAGATCAGAGTCCCCATGACAGATTTGTGGATTTGACCCCCCCACATCCCACCCAAAAGATCGACACAAATTTCTATATGCTGATTTATATGTATTTGTGCAAACTCCTGAAATACAGTACATCTCGTTATAATACAGAAGACCCTAACCTTTCAGACTGTAGAGAAATGTGTTGCATTTCCGTTTAAATTGTTCGGTAACATCCCAACTGGATTACTATAATGCACTTTACATAGGGTTGCCTTTGAAGGTGATTCAGAGACTTCAGCTGGCTCAAAATAGGTCTGCACATGAGTATCAGTTTGACAGCCCATATAACATGTGTTCTATGTAAATTACACTGGTTGCCAGTTGAAGCCTGGGCCCAATTTAAAGTGCTTGTTTTAACATATAAATCCTTAAACAGCTTGGGACTAGTTACTTGACAAAATGCCTTTCCCATACAAATCTACCCACCCACTGAGATCTGGGGATGACATCCTTCTGAAGAGCCGGATATCCCTAAAGGAATTGAGAGGGATAGCAAATAGAAGAAGGGTCTTCTTGATGGCTTCTTCCCACCTTGGAATGGATTTCCTAAAATGGTTCACCAGGCACCGGCACTGCTTTCATTTCAGTGCCAGGCAAAGACTGTCCTTTTTATAGACATTTTGAAACCTGAGTTAAAAATAGGTTGATTTCAGATTTTCTACACTTCCAGCAGTTTTTTTATTGTTACTAGGAACTGTAATGTTTTGTCCTATATTTTATTGTTGTTGTATGTCACTTATAGAGCCCTATAAGGTTATTTGGGAGCCTATAAATTTAATAAATAAATAATCCCTTAATCCCATTTGGACCTCTTTTCTGTGGTCAATATAAGGCATCTATGTAAAACTGTTTTTTTCTGTAAATGGCTATTGATCCACAGTAAATTAATCAAGGACCATACACATGTAATAAGATATCTGACAGACAGCACTAAGCTATTCCCATATTTATACTTCCAAACTAGAAAAAACATAACCTGTTTAATTTTTGCCTAATACACAGTTCTTAAAGGTAAAAGAACTTTACTTCCCCCTAGTATCAGCCCTAAACCATGATTTGTTTCTGTGGCCTTTCATTAGTCCATCTTACCTGGCATTCTGACATCCAGTGCAGGGCTAGGCATGGTGTTTCAGATGGGAGAAGGAGTCCATAGAGAGTTAGGATTGCCAGCAGCCTAGATTCAAAGCTCATACATGAACATATTCAAGGTCAAACTCTTAAAACTCAAGCTGTGCATTCTAAGAGCACATGAACTGGTTTATTACTATTATTTATCTTTCGTAATACCTGCAGCAATGTTATTAGCACAGGTCACTCGCCCTTTTTGGTAAGCAGAAAGATCTGGCCCTCTGACACAAATACCCTGATTTAATGGGGCAACAGCCCATCCATGAGTTATCCTGTTTTTCTTTCATAGGTAAAAAAGCAATTAATCAGCCCATGTTACTTCTGTAATCCACTTCATAACCCCTCTCCTATTACATTTCCTTAAATAACCCAAAGCCTCAAATCACTGGATAACAATATCACATGGCATGTTCATCAAATACTATTTTCCCTGAGCCCATCAGCAAAGCTGATGTAACCAAGCAGCTGTAATTGGCTAATTTTTATTTGCATAATCAGGATAATTTGTAATGATATAATCTGAGGAAAAAAGAACATTTTTGAGGCAAAATTAAAGAAGAACATGAAGTCCTGCCTTTTTTGGACACACTATCTCAATCTCAAAGACACTGTTTTTCTGTTTTGTTTGTTTGCTTGCTTGCTTGCTTTCTGGTTTCTTCGTTTAATGCAGAGCATAATCTAAGTGGAGGTGGAGGCGCTGTATCTGGCTTTCAGAGCATCTTTGGGTTCCTCTAGAGGCAGATATTTGGCCTTATAGAAGGAAGCTCAGCCAGCTTTAGCAAGAGTGGCCATTTTTCCCAGCAGCAGCAGAGACGCTTCCTGTCACCAAAGACACAGGATATGGATAGTGAGAGCTATGCTGAGGAAGTGCACACTACTGCCGAGTCCATTGTGTGCAGTTTGCTATTCCCATCAAGCAGTGTCATTCCTGGCACTGACTGAACCCTCCTTCATGAACATCTCATCACCCCTACCCCTGATGGCAAAAGGCATGCAGAGGAGGTACTAGTCAGCACGGTGAGAGGTGAATGGGCAGGATGATGTTCATGAGTGTGATGGAGTATTACCAGTGCTGTCAGGTGTGAGCATTTGATGGAGGGGAATTTACCTCTCAGATGAAAAGTGTTCTACGCTCCTGACTTAAGCATTTTTAAACATAAAAGGTTCCCAGAACTTCTTAAGGAAATATATAATAGACAGTCCCAGTTTGCCATTTAAAAAATACCATACCCCAATGGACAATGAAAAACCAAGCTCAGGTATCAGTTCTGTTACAAAAATCACAAAACAAAACAGTTATGTTACAAAAAAAGTTCTGTTACAAAAAATCCTGAATTTCTGTATGGTGGGGGGAGGGGCAGGGGGTAACAGTGACCTGTCTACCAGGGAAGACCAATATATATATAAAATTTTAGGCTTCAAATGAACTAAGTCCCTCCACAGAGAAGCCAGTTCATACAATCGACAGAGACATGGGTTAGTTGACAATTGTTTCCTCCAACAAGCCATGCTGCCTGGGTTCAGATGACATGACAAGCTGTGCCCAGACTAGTTATTAGGCTAATATCACCTGGCATGTGCCACCGATTCCAAGAAGCCACTTTGGCTTGTTGTGACCCTATGAACCAGGTCAATGAGTATATGTGTAACTCTAGATTTTTCTCAGTAGTTTGGTTTCGTTAAACATCAATCACCATGATTTCATTGATTGGCTTAAAGCACTGAATGGCAGGAGCAGGTTCAATTATCATAGGTGAGTGAGTAGAATTATCCCTGTGTATTTTGGCTTGTATCTCTGATTCTAGAGGCTTGTGGTTTTTCAAATGAAAACTCAGAACCTAGCCCTGTTGACTCAATGCAGAAGGTTCATCCATGTTCTCCTTTTTCCCTTATGCTTAAAAATTCAAGTCCATTAACAAACAAAACAAAATAGCTGTAGTCATTATTTTGAAATATATGGTGCTAATTCCAAGAGATCCCCATAACTGGTAGGAGATCTGGGTCTGTATAGACACTGTATAGTTAAATGCTGCAAGAACTAAATACCATTTCTTCCCACCTCCCCACACTTTTTTATTTTAACTAGGTGAAAGTCCTCCAGATGAAAAAAATACTCCTGGGCTTGAAGAATCAAAAACTGGAATGGAAATTAAAACAGAGGAACAGAAGCCACTTAAGGAATCTACTGAAATGCCAGAATGGAATAAAAACAGCAGCAAGGATATAAAGATCATTGAATCACTGCCAGATCAGCTGAATGAGCAACAAAAGAGGCAGCAGCTTTCTGTTTCTGATCGCCATGTCTATAAATATCGTTGTAACCATTGTAGCTTGGCTTTTAAGACTATGCAGAAGCTTCAGATACATTCCCAGTATCACGCTATTCGGGCTGCTACCATGTGTAGCCTTTGCCAACGTAGCTTCCGTACATTCCAGGCTTTAAAAAAACATTTGGAAGCAGGCCACCCAGAACTCAGTGAAGCTGAAATTCAGCAGTTGTGTGCGTCTTTACCTGTAAATGGTGAACTCTGGGCAGAAAGTGAAAGTATGGCACAAGATGAACATGCACTAGAACAGGATATAGAAAGAGAATACGAGATGGACCAGGAAGGTAAAGCAAGCCCTGTAGGAAGCGATAGTAGCTCAATTCCAGATGAAATGGGCTCAGAACCAAAGCGGACCTTACCTTTTAGAAAAGGGCCAAATTTTACTATGGAAAAATTTCTAGATCCTTCTCGCCCATATAAATGTACAGTGTGCAAGGAATCCTTCACTCAAAAGAACATTCTTTTGGTACATTACAATTCAGTGTCTCATTTGCATAAACTCAAAAAGGTGTTGCAGGAAGCATCCAGTCCTGTTCCTCAAGAAGCTAACAGCAACACTGACAACAAACCCTATAAATGCAGCATTTGTAATGTTTCCTATAGCCAAAGTTCTACACTGGAAATCCATATGAGATCTGTGCTTCATCAAACAAAGGCAAGGGCTGCAAAATTAGAGCCAAGCAGTAATGCATTGAGTGGAAATAGTATAGCAGGGAATGTTAATAGCCCCAGCCAAGGGATAATAGATCCTACAAGCTTACCAGCAGTTAACAGCAAGGAAACCCACATAGATGCCAAAGAATTAAATAAAAAGCAAGCTTCTGAATTAGTTTCTGCTCAGCCTACGCATCATCCTCCCCAGTCACCAGCACAATTGCAAATGCAACTCCAGCATGAATTGCAACAGCAAGCTGCTTTCTTTCAACCCCAGTTCCTAAACCCAGCATTTTTGCCTCATTTTCCTATGACACCAGAGGCACTGCTGCAATTTCAACAGCCACAATTTCTTTTTCCATTTTATATTCCTGGGACAGAGTTCAGTTTGAGTCCTGATCTGGGTTTGCCTGGATCTGCTGCATTTGGTATGCCTGGTATGGCAGGGTCACTCCTAGAAGACCTAAAACAGCAGATGCAAACGCAACACCATGTTGGCCAGACTCAGCTACAGATACTACAGCAACAAGCACAACAGTATCAAGTTACACCACCTCAAATTCAATCACAAAAGCCACAGCAACAGCAAACTAGTAAGTTGGTGAAAATAGAGCAAAATAGTATTGGAACTACAGAGTGCCAGATGATGAAGGATACACTGTCATATAAGGAATCAGAAGAGATATCTGAGAAACAAGAAAAACCAAAGCAGGAGTTCACAAGTGAGAGTGAGGCCATGAAAGAAAGCAAAGAAATAAAGAAACAAAAGACTTCAGAACCAACCATCCCACCACCTAGAATTGCTTCTGGGGCAAGAGGAAATGCAGCCAAGGCTTTGTTGGAAAACTTTGGCTTTGAGTTGGTTATTCAATATAATGAAAATAGACAGAAAGTACAGAAAAAAAGCAAAACCAGTGACTGTGAAAATACAGACAAATTGGAATGTGCAGCATGTAGTAAATTATTTTCTAACATTCTTATATTAAAGAGCCATCAAGAACATGTTCATGGTCAGTTCTTTCCATATGGTGCACTAGAAAAGTTTGCCTGTCAATACAGGGAGGCTTATGACAAGCTTTATCCTATCTCGCCTTCTTCTCCAGAACCACCACCTCCTCCACCTCCACCTCCTCCACCTACAACTCCTTCACAACCGTCTTCATCCAGCTCCGGAAAAATTCAGAGCATAACTCCTACACCTCTACAGGCTCCAGCACCTACACCACCACCACCACCTCCTCCGCCGCCACCTCCTCCTCCGCCGCCACCACCTTCTGCACCACCACCAGTGCAGCTGCCCGTTTCCTTAGATCTTCCACTTTTCCCTCCAATTATGATGCAACCAGTACAACACCCTGCATTGCCTCCTCAGCTGGCCCTCCAGCTACCACCAATGGATGCTTTGTCTGCAGATCTTACTCAACTTTGCCAGCAACAGCTAGGATTAGATCCAAATTTTCTACGCCATTCACAGTTCAAGAGGCCACGAACCAGAATCACAGATGATCAGTTAAAAATCTTGCGTGCATATTTTGATATTAATAATTCACCAAGTGAAGAACAGATTCAAGAAATGGCTGAAAAGTCTGGCCTTTCCCAAAAAGTGATCAAACATTGGTTTCGAAATACTCTATTTAAGGAACGACAACGAAACAAAGATTCTCCATACAATTTTAGCAATCCTCCAATAACAGTTCTGGAAGATATAAGAATTGAACCACAGCCAAGTTCTATAGAACATTACAAATCTGACTCAGCTTTCAGCAAGAGATCATCTAGAACGAGATTTACTGACTACCAGCTTAGAGTCTTACAAGATTTTTTTGACACTAATGCTTATCCAAAGGATGATGAAATTGAGCAACTTTCAACAGTACTTAACCTACCTACTCGAGTTATTGTTGTGTGGTTCCAAAATGCACGGCAGAAGGCTCGTAAAAGTTATGAGAATCAAACTGAAACTAAAGATAATGAGAAGAGAGAGCTCACCAATGAGAGGTACATTCGGACTAGCAACATGCAATATCAGTGTAAAAAATGTAGTGTAGTTTTTCCTAGAATTTTCGATTTAATTACACATCAGAAAAAGCTATGCTATAAAGATGAAGATGATGATGCACAAGATGAAAGCCAAACAGAAGATTCAATGGACGCTACAGATCAAACACTTTACAAGAATTGCACACTTTCTGGTCCATCTGACTCATCAAAAAGTACTGCTATAGCAACAGCAAGCTCTGGATCTGGCTCCAGTACTCCTTTAATGCCATCTCCCAAACCTGAACCTGAAAAAACCTCTCCTAAACCTGACTCAACAGAAAAGCCAAAGCAAAATGATACCATACCTAAGCAAGCGGAGACTTCTTCCCAAGGCAGCAAACCAATGCAGTCTACACCAACAACTTCCTCTGATCCGCAACCCTCAGCTTCTCAAACACAGCAACATAAACAATCCCAAATAGGGGGTAGGCCACCTTCTGCATCACAAACTACATCTGTTCCTTCTGGCCCTTTAACAATCTCAATGACTTCTATTCAGAACAGTCTACCTCCGCAGTTATTACAGTACCAATGTGACCAGTGTACAGTCGCCTTTCCCACTCTAGAACTTTGGCAAGAGCACCAGCACATGCATTTCTTAGCAGCCCAAAACCAATTTCTCCATTCTCAGTTTTTAGAAAGGCCTATGGATATGCCGTATATGATATTTGATCCTAACAGCCCTCTGATGACTGGACAATTACTGAATAGTTCTTTAGCTCAGATGGCACCACAAGTAGGTTCAACTCACCCAGCTCACCACACTGCTTCCGTTCCTAGCTCAATTAAACGCAAGCTGGATGATAAGGAAGACAATAACTGTAGTGAAAAAGAGGGAGGAAACAGTGGTGAAGACCAGCACCGGGATAAGCGACTGAGAACTACGATTACTCCAGAGCAATTGGAAATACTGTATGAAAAATACCTTCTAGATTCCAATCCTACCAGAAAAATGCTAGATCATATTGCACGTGAAGTAGGTCTTAAAAAGAGGGTTGTACAAGTCTGGTTCCAGAACACAAGAGCTCGAGAAAGAAAAGGACAGTTCCGTGCAGTAGGTCCAGCCCAGTCTCACAAAAGATGTCCTTTTTGCCGAGCGCTGTTTAAAGCCAAGTCTGCTTTAGAAAGTCATATTCGCTCTCGGCACTGGAATGAAGGAAAACAAGCAGGATATAGTTTACCACCAAGTCCTTTGATAGTCAATGAAGATGGAGGAGAGAGCCCACAAAAATATATGTTTTTCGATTACCCATCATTAACAAAGGTTGATTTATCAAGTGAAAATGAACTAGCTTCTACCGTTTCAACTCCTATCAGTAAAACTGCAGAAATGTCACCGAAGAATCTTTTAAGTCCTTCTTCCTTTAAAGCAGAATGCAGTGAAGACATAGAGAATCTGAATACTACTCCTCTTGATGGTGCATATGATCAGACTAAAACTGACTTTGATGAGACTTCATCAGTTAATACTGCAATTAGCGATGCCACAACAGGAGATGAAGGAAACAATGAAATGGAAAGTATGACTGCTAGTTCAGGAGATGTGAAATCTACATCATCTCCTAAAGAGCCAAAAAATATTCTGAATGATAATCTGCCAAAAAACACAAACATGCCTAACATGGAGAACAGTGATGACAAGTTCCTGTTCTCCCTGACAAGCCCATCAATACACTTCAGTGACAAAGATAGTGAACTTGACCAAAGTGTTTACATTACTGATGATCCTGATGATAATGCTGATCGCAGTGAAACATCTAGCATAGCTGATCCAAGTTCACCTAATCCATTTGGAGCAAGCAATCCCTTTAAATCTAAAAACAGTGACCGTCCGGGTCACAAACGATTTCGCACACAAATGAGTAATCTACAGCTTAAGGTCTTGAAGGCTTGTTTTAGTGACTATCGGACTCCAACCATGCAAGAATGTGAAATGCTAGGGAATGAGATTGGCCTGCCCAAACGTGTGGTTCAGGTTTGGTTTCAGAATGCTCGAGCAAAAGAGAAGAAATTCAAAATTAACATAGGGAAGCCATTCATGATCAATCAGAATGCAACTGATGGATCAAGACCAGAGTGTTCTCTCTGTGGAGTGAAATACTCTGCACGTTTGTCCATAAGAGACCACATCTTTTCAAAACAACATATTACAAAAGTGCGAGAAACTGTGGGAAGTCAGCTGGACCGGGAAAAAGACTACTTAGCTCCTACAACTGTTAGACAGCTGATGGCACAGCAAGAATTGGATCGTATAAAGAAGGCTACAGATGTCCTAGGCTTAACAGTACAGCAGCCAGGCATGATGGACAGCAGCTCACTTCATGGAATCAGTTTGCCAGCAGCTTACCCTGGACTTCCTGGACTTCCTCCAGTTCTTCTGCCTGGCATGAATGGTCCATCTTCCTTAACTGGATTTCCTCAAAGTTCAAACAGTAAGTAAAAAGGAAAAGGAAAAAAAAGTGTTGCTCATGTTAAAACAGAGCATTAATATTTTAGTTGCCTAAACTCTTATAGATGCCTTAATATACGTTCTGCAGCTATTTCTTAGAAATATAATGCCTTGGATCCAGATCCTTGATCAAAAAGGATGGATTCCCAATGGCATAGTGGAAGATGAGGTTATCACTGCCAATCCCCCCTCTCCCTACAATTACATAAGCCCTCAAAAATTGCTGCAGAGATTTGGAGGACCCTCTGAAACAGTGAGGGAGGGAACTTCTGAGGGAGGAGGAATGAGCAAAGTGCTTTCGCTGGTGGGAAAATTTGGAGATAACTCATTGTTTAAAGAATTTTGGATGAATTGAAACTTTTGTCTATCATGCTATCCTGGTAAAAACAAAAGTAATGTGTTATTCAAATGAGCAATTGTACATACATTTAAAAGCATTTTTAAGTATAGTGCTTAGAGACAATTGCCAACAAGTCCTATGAAATGGGTAGCTTTACAGCCTTTTCAATCCTCTGTGAATATTTGCCCCAATGTGAAAGATGTATTACGTATGAGGACAGTATTCATACCTGACTAAAGCCAAAAGTCCAGACAAAAGTTAGAATGAAAGACTGTCCACTAATCTTTTGTTTCCTGGCATTTTGTCCACCAATAAGTTTTACTGATATCATGGAGACTTCTGAATAATCAGGTTTAATATTATGCTGGCTTAGACATTTAATAATTCTGGATTTCATTTCTTACCTGACTTCTACAGAGAAATATTGGGTAGCTAAGGCAGTTGTTCTGAATATATTGTTTTATTACATTGCATTTATAGCCTTCCCTTTTTTCTCTTGCTAGGAACCAAGGCAGCTTAAATAGTTCTGTTTTAACTTTACAGCAACAACCCTTTGAGGTATGTTAGGCTGAGAGTGAGTTACTGTCCCAAAGTCACCCAGTGAGCTTCATGGCTGAGTGGGGACTAGAACCTGGATCACCCCAATCCAACACTCTAACCACCACACCACATTCAAACAAAGCACCAGGGACCAAATTCAGTGCCCTAGAGTTCTCCAGATAGATACACCCTGTTTTCACAAACCATCAATTGATCAAGATTTCCCCATTTTGGTACATGTTTTCCCTTTTCTAAAAAGGTGGAATGTCTTCCCTAAGGATAGCTACTGACAGTAACAGCTTTCATCTATAATATGCTGGCATCCCCCCTCCCAATACCTTTTGCCATTGGCTTCAACCCCTTTGTTTTCTGTCTCACTCACCACTGAAATGTGGCCCCATAGCCTTCTCCAAAATTGCATTTGGCCCATGAATTGAAAGAGATTTCCTACCATAAATTTCCAGGGTAGTATGCACCCTGTGATTATGTGCACCCTTGGATTATGTGCACAAATCCAAGTAGAAAATCTTGTAAATATCTGCTTCCTGAGCTACAGTGTGGTTTATTTGTGGATTCACTGCCTCCTGTTAAGTTATATTTGTAGCAAATCAGTAATAATAATTTGAAAATCTCCTTTTTTGGCATGTTACCATTGAGACAGACTTCATTCCTCACCTCCTTATTCTGTGGCATCTGAGCAGTTACTAAAATTAGTCCCCAATTTAAAGTTTGAGGGCCACATTTTCAGTTGACAACTGTACCATGGACATCTTTTCAAGACATCTTTATTCTAATCAATAATAACATCTTGATGGCCAGTATCTTATCTTGAAATTATTCATATTATAAACCTCATTTATGAGGGATTATACAATGTCATGTTGTATCTATTTTCCCTTTGGTTTGTGTAATAACATTAATAACATTACACCTTTTTAATAGTAATAACAAATAATAATAATAATGATGATGATAATGATAATGATAAACAGTAATCTTCATTTGTGAGTGAGCATATAAACAACCTATTGAGATTTTCCTATCTGCATGTAGAATCAGGTTTCTCCACTCAGATCAGGTCTACCAAGTGTGCAAAAGCCAACTGTAGGGGAATCTAGTATGGCCAGGTCTATGTTCCTCAGAAACTTCAGCATTTGGCAATCAAGCCCCTTGGAATTAATTATGGAATTAATTCAGTCTTTTAAATCAATCAGTATGTTATTGCCTGATTTTTCTGGAATGAGACTAAAAGCCCTAACACACAAATCAGCTTTCTGGAAAGGTTGCAACCTTTGAGACTCTCCAGACCTCTCCCCTAGCAGAACACCTTATTGACGATTCCTTTCTCTCTAAAACAAGTCATTGTTTGTTACAATCACTATCTCCAGCCCTCTACCCAGTTTAAACTAATTTCATAGGCAAACTACTGTTCATCAAGGATTGTATCTTAGGGCTGTGATGCAGCTCAGATATTCTCAGGCAAGGCACAAGTGAATGGAAGAAACAGAAATGTGGAGGGACAGGGTCTCAGCACTGCTGCTCTCTCATATCAGATGGGAAGTGTAGGAGAATCTCCCATTTCTTTTCTTCTGGCATCTGGCATTGGTACAGGATTATTCAAAACCTTGATCTGCTGTGGAGGAGATGATAGTTAAATCGTGCTTTGACAGAATTCCTGTTTCCCTTACGAAATAGCTAGTGGGCTCTATCAGAGATTTTGCTTTCCAGATTCAGTCATCTCTTTGGCTGGATGAGTGCAGTAGGATCCTGCAGCATGTGGTGATATTTCAGTAGTCAGGAATGAAGCCAAACTACATAAACTCTTTTGCTTTCCTGTTGAAGACAACATTTGCCCATCTTCATTAGGTCAGTTAACATTGCTGACAGTCTGAAAATGATGACATAATATGTGCATCAGGTGGTTAATGCAGATGTTGAGTTGTGTGTACAAGCCAAGCCTCGCTGTTTATAGGTTATTTCTTGCTAGCTGAAAATTCCAACCAGCCCAAATCTTCAGATCATTAATACAATAGAAATCTATGGTGTCAGTTGAGAAACAGCAACTTTCAGCTGATGTAGCTAATCTTTCTGTGTAAATGCGAAGTAAAGATATATCTTGAGACATTTTGTTCTTCCATATGCTAAATAGTCCCCGCATCCTGTCTTTATTACCCAGAAAACATATGCTCTTAATGGTTCTTAATGGAGTATTGGAAGTGAAATAAAAGATGATATATTAATCTTTCATAAGTGAAAAGTACTCCTCAGAAGTTCTTTAATATATGCTCACTGCTGATATGCTTCATATCTTATTAACCCACTTTTAACAACTCCTTGTTTTGCTGTGGGCAGCAGTTCATATCTGTGTTTGATGCAAAGAGAGATGCTGAATCAGAATCTACTTGTACTCCCACTTTTTGAGCTGATTCTGGTTGTAATCCTGTAACCTTGTAAAATGTTTTAAAATATCACAAAAATCATGTTGCCTGGCCTCAAGGGTTTTCTTCCAAATGTTCTAAGCAAAATACATGGTACCTCTGAATTAAAAATACAAAAATTATTGATATTTCTCCTAAAGAGAGCCTTATGGCTAATGGAGAAGCATAAAAAAATCTAATAAATAAATAGGAAAATAGTAATCCTAAATAGCAATAGAATTTTATCAAATTCTCTTTGAGCATGTTCTTCACATGTATAAATATTTGCAGAATTAGAATTTATGTTTTCATTATCATAAAATTGGTCTCTTCTGCAAGTGATTAAAAGGGCTCTGCATGCTCTAAATAATACACACATCTAATGAACTGAACTTTAGCCCTTAAAGCAACATTCATTCATTTACTGTCTTCTAGAGCCTTTGGACCACAATTCTCAGGATTCCAATTATTGTTTTAGCTGACTAAAACTGATGAGAAGTAAGTTCAAAACAATTGGAGACTACCAGATTGAGAAACATTGCCCTAAAACTTACTACCACCATACAGATCTTACATAGAAACATAGCAAGTCAGAAGGGGCCTCCTGGGCCATCTAGTCTGATCCTCAGCTCTAGCCAGCTCCACTCATGACATGCCTACCATGCACATGTCCATCCTACCCTTAAACACCCTCACTGTTGGGGCTTCAACCACCTCCTGTGGAAGCCCATTCCATGCCCTAGGGCTCCTAACCGTCAGGATGCACTTTCTGACATCCACCTTGAATCTTGGTTCCCTGAGCTTTGCTTCATTGGAATGTGTCCTGTCCTCCACCGTGGAGGAAAAATGTCACAGTCCACTTCTGCGTGACATCCCCTTACATACCTGTAGGTTGCTAACAGGTCCCCTCGAGTTCTTCTCAAGGCTGAAAAGACCCAGTTTCCTCAGTCTCTGCTCATATGGCTTACCAGCCACCATCCTTGTGGCCCTTCACTGCACCTTGCTATATTCCTCTTGTAATGAGGGGCCTAGAACTGAACATAATACTCCAACTGTGGGTGCACCAGCGTCAGAGTGGCAGTAACACCTCTCTTGATCTAGAAGTCACACCTCTGGCTATGCAACCAAGGGTGGCGTTCGCCCTCTTCACTGCTGCTTTGCATTGCTGACTCATGCTTAGCCTGCAGTTGACCCGCACCCCGAGATCCTTTTCACAAGTGCTGCTCTCCAGCCACTTGTCTCCTAACCTGTACTTCTGACACCCATTCCTATGCCCTAAGTGCAGGATCTTCCACCTATCAGTATTGAATGTCATCCTGTTGTCCCCAGCCCACAAAAGCATTATTATTTTGTGATGCATTTTACTTTTAAAGATTTTGCATATGTACAGTGCAATACTATACATGCCAACTCAAAACTGTGCTCCATTGGATTCAGTTAAACTTCCTTTCTGGTAAGTCTGTGCTGGGTTTCATCTTTAACTTTCTTAAGAATATTCCACTATATGTCCAAATCATGACCTCTCACCTTCTCAAATTATTTGAAAGTTGATTGAACAGAGGTACAAAATTCACCAAATGCACTACAAGTATTTGAAGAGTACATGTGAAGTGACGAAGAAAATAGAGTGAAGCAAATAAGCCCATGGTTATCATATCAAGGGACATAAACATTAATAATTAAGAGTAGACTAGGACTACTGTACCTGTACTTGTGCTAATAATGTGAGTTTCATGTTCACTGAAAACATGTGCCTGGGACAATAAACCTGCAAAAAATATCCATATGAATTGGAAGCCAATGAAATCCTAATCCTGTTCAAGTTAAGTATATGGAGAAAAAAAATCACAAATTCCTGTCAATGTATTAGAACCAGATGTCACTTAATACAAGCTCAGAATGCCATAAAATTGCATGCCCTTAACTTAGGTCAGAGCAGGATACTCCCTATACTTCTGGCACAGTCACTGAGAATGTCAGTGGGCAAGATCATTGAAATGAATAAGACTAATGACTTTTATACATTGGTAGAATAAAATTGTAAAATTAACTACTTTATTTTTCATCTACTCACAGAACAATTCTGTGTATGTCTACATGGAAACAAACTCCATTGGGTTTAATTGGGCTTACTCCCCAGTAAGGTTATATATGATTGCAGCCTGAGACTGTGCTCACTTACTTGGAAGTAAACCCTGTTGAATTTAGCAGTATTTAGTTCTTAGTAGACACACAACAGAATATTTATTTATTTATTTATTAAAGATGTTCTATCCCTCCCCCCATAGAATATCTTGGGACAGCTTACAATAAGTCTAGATTATATTGCTAGGTCTTAATGCTCCTCAGTGGTTAATATTAACTTTTCTCTATACATATATACTTTTATTCATTTCACTCAGCCTACATCTTTCCTTTAATAAATTTAGTATCTGTTATGGCCAATGTCTTGTTTTTGTTATAATATCTATTGGAATCCTAGTGCTTCACTTTAATTTTAACATTACATTATTGTCTCTTGATAAAATTGTCACAAACACATGCATTTTTTTAATTGATGTGGTGTATTTTCATCTTATGTACAAATATTGATTTTTGTTCATCATTAATATTGTCAGACATTTTGGCATCAAACTATTTATATTTCATCTAAAAAGTTTAAATAATAGGAACCATTAGTGTTGCCTAAACTTTTTAATACCCCTTAGATAGGCTTGATCCATTACTATCTACTTGTTTGGACACTGATCAGTTAATTTTAAGATGTCTGATCATTGATAGAGATATTTGAATACACACTGCAGTATATTATTTGAAGATCAAAGAGAGCATAATATTTTACTTATCATTTAAAGTTAGACTAATTATCCCACATTTCAGTGGCTGATGCAAAAATTTAACACAAAAATTTAACACAACAGTCTATCCAATATTATTGTGTAATGATTATGCAAAATACAGATTTTTTGAACAAAGCCTTCAGAACTTGCTTTAAAAACTATGTAATCCCCAACAATATATTTTAATTTGCCATTAAATAAAAATAATGATTCTGTGAGAGACTTTAAATGGTTGCCTTGTTAAATCTGATGCTCTCTCTGAGTTCTAATTGCTTCATCCTAAGTAAAGCTAAGCACCTAGATATTGATGATTTAAGCACCATTCATGCCTACTCATTTAGTATTTCCATGTAACTAATGCACATCTATCCAGTAGAGCCTAGGGTTATCACTCTTATCCTCTTACTCATACTGATCCTAGAGGATGCTTTAAGCCTACCATCCTTTGAATAAAGTTTCTCTGCTCTGCCAATCTTATTTTCTCTGCAAGACATTTCTTAAAATTCCTTTTCTACAGTTTCCTAGCAAATTATAGGGATTGCTTTTGTAGTTTACTGTAACAAACATTGTCTATATCTCTTATCGGAAGAAATTACTTGTGTTTATTCTTGGAATTGTACATATATACTCCATAAACTACACATAACTCCACAGTTTCTTCATTCACTAAGCTACCATTGTGTGTTTCAAGTCCATAAAAACTACTACATTTTTGAGCAGCTACACTAACACATATCCTGTCAATATTTATTTGGTATTGAGATTCTTTGGGTTGGACCCAGATGGCCATACTTGGAATAGTCCCACTGAAGTCAATGACCAGTTTATATCCCACTGTTTAAAATTGGCCTGTGTAAGTATGACCAAATCTATTTCTAACCCACTAAGTTCCATGGAGCTTAACTTAAAGTTGGTGTGCTTAGGACGGCAACTTTAATGTGCAATAGTTCCCTAGTCAGAAACAAGCAGCTTTGAATTCAATATGAATTACTTCCAGGAAAGTGTATATAGGGTTACAGCCAGACAGAAATAGTCAGTACTGCATTTGGTCTGTTGTGAAAGCCAGACCAGCCACTCACACAACAAGGAGCTGGCAGTTCAAAATTTAACCCTGGAAATGCTTGCTTCTACACTGGGACAAGTCAGAACTTCCTTCTGCAAACTTTGCTTACCTGCCTCATTCCAGAACTAAAGATGTCATGCATTTCGGATTGATCTGAGAATTACTAGGCCCCTTTTGTACTAACAAGCATCCTCCAGCAAAGTCTCTTAGTAGTCCCAAGGACATTCCCCAGCCTTGATTGGTCCAATTTGATTGTAAGGTACAGCTTTCTTTGAAAAAATGGGAGAAAGATTCTAGCTTGGTTTTGGATTGTATTACAGAGTAGCTTCAGACATATACTTAAAGAGGGAATTCTTAATTGTGCTATATCATAGTAATGATTTAAGACCTGGTTATCTGAAGAAGCATCGCCTTCTATATGTGACTGCCCACCCCTTAAGATCTGTCTTTAGATGTGTCTTTGAAAGAAATTAGGAGAATGGCTACCCAGAGAAGGGCCTTCTCTGTAGTGGTCCCCCTGCTGTGGAACATGCTCCCCAAAGAGGTGCACCTGGCACTGACACTTTATTCTTTTCACCCCCAGGCCAAAACCTTTTTATTTTCCCATTATTTTAAGACTGTTTTTTTCGTCAGGCTTTTTTCATAGATATTATGCTGTTCCTTTGCTGTTAAACCTTCCTGTGAGTTATGTATAGGATGGGGTTCAAAAGATCATTTAATTTTATTGATATGTATTTACATCTGTTGTACTTTAGATAAATGTTCATACTTCAAATAGACCAGAGATCCCATTTTGTTAGATATGTAATTAGTTACATTGTTACTAGATTTCACAGTTGAAAAAACAGTGTTATATTATTTCAGAGACAGAATAATAATTAGTTAAAATGAGAGACAATGGTCAGATATCCACAAAGCATCACTGAAATGCAATATTATTTCAGTAGCATGTTGCTTATATTTTAATAATTTACCAAAAAGTAATACATTGTGTATAATGAATACTATCATTCAGTGAGCAGCATGTACTGATGGTTTAATTGTTAAAGTTTTTGTTCATCTGAGAATTATTTGTGGCAAGTTATGCATACATATATTTATTTATTGAGTCTGTTTCAGTTAGGTATGTTGCTGTA